TCCATAGATTTTCCCGTCAAGGTTCCTATATTCCACGTTCCTAAACGCATTTTGCTCTCTTGAACTCTACCCTTCTGTCCTAGCTTCTTCACCCTTCCCCGTCTAATAGGATCAAAGTACTTCTTTTGTGTGTCCCGTGTAAAGTTGATAGGAGCATATGCTCCCAAACAACTTTGAGTGGAGTCGTTCGAAAAGAAGTTTCTATAGCCCCCTTGCTCATTTAACACTGCATCCGGGTGCCGATGGAGATATAAATACGCTGGGTGCTGGCACAAAGTTTTCAGGGATGGACTTGCTCTAATATCTGTAGATTTATTTTGGTTAACTTTTTCATTAGTATTTGGGAGCTTTAACGAAACTCTTTCGGTACTGCTCACTTTAACAAAAAACCACATTTTTACTTTAAAATGTCAATTCTGGTACTATTCACTTACAACACATTTTTGTCTTTTTCATTAAAACTCAAAATTTTCAAGTCATTTTCATTAGTTTTTTTTAATATTTGTAAACTAAAAATCACGTTACTTACCCTGAAAGTTTTATTGGAATTGGTACTTAAAAGATCTCAAAAACTTCGTTTTTTTAGTACTCTTTAATAAAAGGCGAAATAATAGTTTATTGTCTTATTGTTCACAAAAAGAAAAAAAACACAATAGTTTAATAGATTATTCTATCATTCGTAAAAATAAATAAAAAAATTAGTTTACCATTATTTTAAGAATAATGTTAGAGAGATCAAATTATTCAAGTATTAATTAACGTACTTATTTTTTATTAGTGACATATCATTTTATTTACAAAATTTGGTTTAAAAATTTGTTCTCCTCACTCTTATAAATAAAGTGGGTTGAAACTCAAGGGTTGCAGAGGAAAATGACCAAAAAATTTATTTGAGAAAAAATAAAATAAAAATGTATTGTTCTCGCTGCTTTCAAATGCACCAAAATTTATGATAATAGATAGTCGCTGCTGAAATATTATTATTTTGATAGACCATGGGAGGAAAATTTATTGTAAAAGTTTTGTAATGAGAGAGATATAAATCTTATTAAAGCTTTGAAACCGAGATATGTAATTTGCTTCTCGCCTTATAGAGGTGTGAGAATATTGAGAAGAAAGCACAATAAGAGATGAAAGGTTTGCAATTAAGCAAAGCAACGTTGAAAGTTGGAGGGCAACTAGAAATTAAGGCTACAACAAATAGATGATGCACTCAACATTTGGCACGAAAATATCGACAACATTTTCATAGAAACTCATTAACTGTATATGTCCATGAACATTGGCAACATGTTGTGATAAGCAACTTTTTCTAGGACGGTAAATTAGCAGACAAACTTAAGGAAAAATGTTTATTTCTAGCAGCAATATCAGAATATCACAAGGCATCCCGGAGAAAATTCCGAGTACATAAGACGTCTTTTTCTTCTAGTCGAGGCTCTTCAAATTGCAATGATGATTAGGTGTTGAAAGACTATAACAAGTCTTCCTCTTTCTGCCAAAAAAGACAGATTCCTCTTTTATCTTTTTAATTGCTTTCTTATCTCCTATGTCCTACACGGTTATACATTTTCTTTTCATTTATACGAACGATTTTGGGAGATGAGGAACCAAACACGCAATTTAGGGTGAAAGGGTGATTGCTGGTAAACAACTGAGTTGCATTTCTTGCAATACCGATTATATTAGTTTGAAAGGGTGATTAATTTTTTAGGCCATTGTAGATAATGTTGAGACAATAAATTTAACGAAACTTTAACGAAGAAAAACTCAAGGTACTGTTACTTTAACAAAAAATCACATTTTTACTCTAAAAAGTCAATATTGATACTATTCATTTACAACACATTTTTGTCATTTTCGTTAAAACTCAAAGTTTTCAAGTCATTTTCATTAGTTTTCCTTAAATTAATTTAAAGTAGTAAAAGACTCAAACAGCCTAAGCCACACAACACAAAGAAGAAGAAAATGATCCTGCAAAAGGTTACCATGGATTATTGTTAACCATCTTGTAGTCATACTACTTAATTAGTCGCAGAGCTATATTTTAGATCAATTGAAGATGAAGAGCAAGTTTTATTAGCATATAATTGAACGTCTAGCTGCTAAAGAAAGGAAACAAGTCAAACAACTTTGAGCAAGATTTTCATGAAGTGAAATTACTAGCTTATTATGTAAGTTTGAAGATTAAGAGAGACAAACTAAACTCGGTAGAACTGAATTAGTGACGAGTAATTTTTGACTTATGTATTGCCGTGTGAATCTACTTGTTCACTACTTAGTCTACCAGCAACTTGACTTTTCCACTACCCAAAAGCTGAAAATGCACGAACCCGAACATGTTAGGAAAGTAGAAAAACTAAGCTAGTGAAGAGAAATTTAAACACAAATTGTATTGTTAACCCATGATGTCACGATAACGTCCCAACATGTGTCTAGTCATTCCCTAAATATTATCATTGCCTGCTGAGAGCTCTACCGGATTGTTTACAGAAGGTACCATATTCGCCTTTGATATATTTGAAGGAGTTATACAATTTAGGATTTAGTAAAATGGTGTGATATCCACACACCTTTTTTTACTTCTCACACATCATTTTAATTTTCGGTGTCGGATCGGATGAATTGAAGTAGATCAAAGGACAAAAGTTAACAAAGGGGATGTGAGAAGTAAAAAAGAGTGTCTGATAAGTAAAAATAGATATGCGGATAGTATATTCCTTTAATAAAACAGGTAGTTTAAATGGAATTTGAGTTTTTGTAGACTACTTTACAGATCAATTTGCTAGGATAATTAGGTGTCGACTTGAAAGACTATAACAAGTCTTCCTCTTTCGACGATAACTACTTCAATTTGCCATTGCGATACGTGTTAAAAGACTAACATGTCTTCATCTTTCTGCCCGTAAAGAAAGAAAGATTCCTTGTTTTTGTTCTCTCTTTATTTTTCGTGGGGTCATATTGTTTTCTTTTTGATTGCTTTCTTATCGCAAATATCCTACACGGTTATACTTTTTCGTTTCCGCTATAAGAAGAGGACCCAAACGTGAAACTTCGGGTGGAATAGTAATTAATTTTAAACAGTAAAAGACTCTGAAACAACGTGAGCCACACAACAAGAAGAGAAGAACATGATCTTGCCGAGATCAGATTTACCAAAATTATCATGGATTATGCTTTTACCATTTTGGAGTCATACTACTTAATTAATCACAGAGCTATATTAACTTATGATCCATTTGAAGGTGAAGAGCAAGTATTATTAGCATTTAATTAACGAACATCTCGATCGATGTTTAAGAAGGGAAACAAGTCAAACAACATTGAGCAAGATTTCCATGAAGTGAAACTACTAGCTTATTATGACAATTTTGTAAGTTAAGAGAGACCAATTAAGCTTGGTAAACTGAATTAGTGACAAGTAATTTTTTCGCTATGTCAATCTACTACCAACTTGACCTTTCCACTATACAAAAACTGAAAATACACGAACCGGAACGTGCTAGGAAAGTAGAAAAACAAAGTTAACACGATGTATATAGAGAGAAACTTAAACGCGAAATCGTATTGTTCACCTATGATGTCATGATGATGCCCCAACATGTGTCTAGTCATTCCTCAAAAATGGTCACTGCCTGCCGAGAGCTCTAATGGATGGTTTACAGAAGATAACAAAAAAGGAATTTGAGTTCTTGTAGTCTATAGGTCGTATTAAACCATTCTCCCTTGGGAATGATTGGAAATTCTAGTCTACAGTACTCATCAAAATCATGGTTATTTATCATAATGCAAATACTAATGCTCCTCCCTTGGCTCGTGTATGCGAATACAATGCAGTACAAGGAGGTCAGTCGAAACGTGGTTATTAAGATTGATTGTAAGGGTGAGGTGGTTGCGAATACAGTTGGCAGGTCGGAAAACGCGGCAATCGTATAATTATTTTGAATTATAATAGTTTTTATAGAATTATTTTAGTTGATTTTTTCATTGGCACCTAAACTAAAAATTATGTTACTTAAACTAATAGCTGTATTGAAATTGGTATTTAAAAGATCCCAAACACTTAAAACTTCTTTTTTTATTTTTTTATAAATGTATTCTTTAATAAAAGACAAAAAAATAATTTAGTATAAATTATCCTATCTTCGTACGAAACCGAAAGATTAGTTTGCCATTATTTTAATTGCGCGGAAACTTACTTTACTGCCAAACCTGCATGCAAGGGTTGCAGAGGAAGAAGATAAAAAATTCTTTGAAAACAGAGAAGAGAAAAAGGTACGTATTTTTCTCGCTGCTTTCAGTTGAACACACAATTACTAATGGACTACTAGTCTCTACTGTAATATTATTATTTTGGTTGACCATAGGAGCAAAAGTTATTGTAAAAGTCTCGTGACTAGATAAATCTTATTAGAGCTAAAAAAATAAGATATGCAATTTTCTTCTCTTCCTATTTGGCACGAAAATATCACAAGCAATTTCAAAGAAATTAATTTAACTGTATATATCCATGAACATTGGCAACATGTTGTGATAAGCAACTTCTTCTAGGTCTCTAAATTAACAGACAAACTAAAGGAAAAATGTTCATCTCTAGCTAACATCCAGCAATGTTAGAAGAGTAAATTGTAGCTATGGTCTCTTAACTTTAACTCAATTGGAGCAATGGTCACTCAACTAAAAATTCATTATTATTGGTCCCTCAACTCATCAAAATGTGCAGCTATGGTCTCTTAACTAAAAATCTATTACCATTGATCCCTCAACTTTAATTCAACTGGAGAAATAGTCCCTTAACTTTAACCTAATTGTAGCAATGATCCGTCCAACATAACTCGTTTTGACAAAAATTTTGACGTAGTTGACGAAAAGAACCTTAATTACACACTTTGATGAATTGAGGGACCCTAATTATATAAATGATTATTCCAACATAACTTATTTAGACAAAATTGATGAATATGACTATAGCTACACATTTTCATAAATTGAGGGACCAATGGTAATGAAATTTTAGTTGACGAATCATTGCTCCAATTTGATTAAAAAATGAGGGACCATTGCTACAATTTACCCATGTCAGAATATCACAAGGCATCCCTGAGAAAATCCCAGTACATGCGACGTTTTTTACTAGAACAAGTGATAAAGTCAGGACACTACTTCACCATTGTTCCTAAAACATAAGGGCTTGTAGGGCACCCTTCTTTCCGGATCCGGTGGACTTAGAGTTATCAGTTTGGCCCATGAATCCTCGATGCCATACTCTTTCATCACCCATATGTCAAGAAAATCCTCAGGACAATTACGACCACGCGTTGTCGTGAACATAGCAACGGAGTTTCCATCACCTGAAACAGACAAGTGATAATCTAATGGTTCATCCTGTCTGAAACTCTTTAGCACCCTTATCTCGCAAAATAACTCACCGTCCACATCAATTGCTAAAATGAAATTTTGATAACGACCATCGTTCAAGCAGCGCCATGCCAGCCAATGAACTGCCCAGTTCACAAAAGCCTGAAATTTGCAAGAATAAAAAACTTTACAAACGGGATCAAAAGAACAAGGACTACTCCACAAGCCTCTAGCAAGTGAATAAGCCCATAAAAAGTATTCGGATCCTCGCATTCCGACCACACGAAGAAATCTCTTGCGCTTGGGAACACTTGGATACTCTAGCTTGCAGTACTCATCAAAAGCATGGTTATCATAATGCAAATAGTAATTCTGCTCCACTGGATTGTCTCCACTAACACAATGCAGAAGGAGTCGGTGGGTGCCAAACTGCTTAAAATCGATGGTACGGCTGAGGTGGGTGCGAATCATGGTCTAAAATATCCATAATATCCCGATATTTCCATCGAAATTTCCGCGTTTTTGGACTAGTGATATTTTTTTGGACTACCGATATTTCCGATATCATCGATATTTTAGACCTTGCTAAGTCACTCATGTATCTTACCATGAAATGTATAAAGTGTAAAATATTGTACTAATTCATTATATATAAATGATTATGGTGTGTTTAAACTTCTTTCATTAATTACTACATATTTTCTACACTCACCATGTTTGCCAGCTCGCTATATAATCAATTTAAATCAGTTATATCTATCATGCAATGCATTTCCTTCCAATTTTTTGTAATAAACTAATAGATAATTGACTAAATAAACATCCAGCAAAGTTTCAATAAAAATTTCCAAGTTTTTCTAACAATTTCCATGGTTTTTATTCAATTTTTATCGATATCGATAATATCCCGATATTTCCATCGAAATTTCCGTGTTTTTGGACTACCGACATTTCCGATATCATTGATATTTTATACCTTGGTGCGAATAAAGCTGGGACTTTTTATCATGGAGTTCCAAGGCTTGGACACCGAGGTGCATCTCATCAAAGCTTTAGGAGGTAGTCTCAAAAGGATATCATGTACGATTTCCTTAGGCAAACTGCTAACCATTGCTTCAAACTTCACTTACCCGGCTGCCAATTTCATAGACATACAGTGAGAGAGGAAATATAGTGGAGCCAGTTACAGAACACCGTGCTCCTCCATCGGAGCACTTAGGAGAACAACATTGTCAACAAAACTGCTGGTGGTTGATGAATGCTGCAAAACCATTTTTTCTGTGCACCAGGAAATCAAACCAAATCAAATCATCCACAAAGAGTGAGGAATTTAAGCATATTAGATTTTGGCAGCAGAAATAATTACCGTCCAGTTATTCGTTCTATTATTCTACTAATTGGAAATGCAGCAGACACAGAAAACGAAAAGGCCACACAATGATCAATTGACAAGAGCAAATATTTCAAGGGCCAATAGTTCTTTCAATTGTTCACAATAAAACAAACAAATGTTCCTATTAGGCTACATCTGTCTAAAAGGAGATGGAACCTGAGTGAAGTTAACGTATGCCAATTCCACTCCCATGGAATAATGCAGATAAAACAGCCGAATCATCTTGTGTTCTTTTATTTTTCAAATATCTTGGCCCTAACATTAGATCTGTCTTTTGCCACATTTCCTTACTAGAGTTCTATATAAGTCAGTTGCATTGATTTTCACATCAAATGGTATGCTGTGTTGTACTACTGACGTCACTTGAAAAGCAATAACTTGCAACTAAGAAAACCGTAAAGAATGTATTGCTATTGGCTGTCTCATGTGTATATTATCAAATCATTAGACAAAGAAATGAGACAGAGTTATGAGAAAAAATCTTACAGACGAAGGCCTGCCAGTGCCAGTGCCAGTATCCACTCCTCCATGCCTGATATTAGGATCAACCTTTCCTGGTGACTCCGGTTTTCCACCTGTCTTCTTCTCATCCCTAGCCTTGTTAAAGATCACAGTAAACCCCTCAGCTGAAGCAGGATCATTGACGTCCCATTCACCAAATTTTGAGAGTGGCCTGCCTTTTTCCTGCTAGAATTCAGTAATATATTCTCATTGTTATTCAGCACAGCAAGGCAGAGGGCACCCAAGTAATAAGTATACAAATTCAGTAATATTTTGTAGTTTTAGTACTGATGTATTACTATCTTCAATTTTCCTTAGAACTCGGTTAAAATGCATAATCATCACCAATTTATCACATATCAATTAGATGAATAATGCATTTTTTGAACAAGTGATGAAGGCTTGGTATAAGGATTTGATTGACCAAAATTCGTTGGCACGTATTTTCTACTTTCAGGAAGACAAGTTATAGTAAAGGAAGTCATTTAGTGGTCATCGTTCCACAAGCCTCTAGCAAGTGCATAACAAACGGCCAAGGGTAAAATCACTCTTGTACCCACTTGAGCAACGAGCTCTTTACATTTCCATTTCTTTGTTGATTGCTTATTCTCGATGCATTAAATAAAATGCATTACTAGCTCATAAGTCAAAATTTGCTAAAATAAAATAAAAGATTAGATTAAAGTGGCCTGATTAAAATCTTGCTGGGAGAAAGAGTAGCACATTTATAAAGTTATAATACAAATCAATGAAAAGGGACCAAGCAAACATAGCAATCGTTTACCAATAAAAAAAAGAAAGAAAGAAGCAAATATAGGAATCTGGGAGAAGAAACGTTGGCGGAGAAATATCCCCGTTGACGCCAATTGAAAGGCCTCCCAAAGTAGCCACTCCTCAACCCCCAAAGCCTTGACCCAAACCAAAATATGTGGATTACTTTACTTTACAAGAATAAAGATGATTAATAATAATAATAATATTAATATTAAAACATTCCTTGAGAGATGATACCTGGACCATCAGCTTCATATCAACTCCCAATCTATGCTTATGAAAGGGATGTGAGATATTAATAATAATAATATTAATATTAAAACATTCCTCGAGAGATGATACCTGGACCATCAGCTTCATATCTTCTTATAATCTATCCTTATGTAAGGGATGTGGGATATTTTGTGCCAGTAGCGTCCTTTTCCTGGTTGACATCTCTCTTTTAGCACTGGACACCCTTCGATCCAAAGTTCCTCTAGCGAAGGAGGCAGACCCTCCTTTGGAATAGATGCTAGCTTTGGACAACGGAAGAGTTTCAGAGATTGAAGGGAGGTGAGGAATTGAAAGCCCTTGCTGCTCAGTTTCTTTAGATTCGGGAAGCCACCTATTGCGAGGTTAGTGAGAGATTTGGGGAAGAGCGTCTCCATCCGTACCATGTCGGGTGGAAACGACACCGTATCCGGGTCTTCACTGTCGATATACAAGTATCTAAGAGAGGTGAGTCTGTGCAACCCCCACTCCAACTCCCACAATGACTTACAACTCTTGACCTTCCAAAGATCAAGTGATGTTAGGTTGGGAGGAAAAGTCAAACCTTCACGGTAGTCGATGCTCAAATCCTCAAGAGAGTTGAGATTGTGCATGTTTTCGGGCAACGCCTCCAATTTGTCGCATCCGATGATCCAGATCGTTCTCAGGTTGGAGGGTCTTCTCCCCCCACTCAGTCTCGGGATGGAAACAAGACTTCCACATAGTTCAATATATAGCTTTTGAAGATTGCTGAGGTGGCATAAGCCATCCGGTAAGGATTTCAGATTTTGGCAATTCGAGATCAGAATATATTCAAGGCAGTGATTGGTGTTGTCGCTGAAGAACCCGTTCGGTGCTATTAAACCCAGTCGTTCACATTCCTCCTCATCTACTAGTGATTTCAAACTTTTGCAATCTCTTATATCTATTCTTCTTAGATTTTGGGGAATCTGGAATTTTGCAAAATATATCAACGAAGCGCACGATATAATCTCAATGTCTTTAAGAGAAGGTGGCAGACCAACATCTGGGAAAGAAACTAGACGTGAACATTCGTGAATGCGAAGCTCTTTAAGAGACGACAGCTGATTTAATCCTTTTGGTAGCGTCCAAAGATTTTCGCACTTGTTTAACTCCAGAAATTCAAGCTTGCACTCCAATATTTGCAATTGCATCAACTCCTCTGCTTCTTTTCCCAATTCTTCAACTAGACAAGAGTTGTCTTCAATTTCCAAACGGCCAAGACAAGTCAACCGCTGCAATAATCTAGCCTCATTCTTCCATAAAGACGTCAACTTCTCACATCCATGGATCTTCAAATCTCTAACCTTGCTTAATCCCTTCCTGAACAATTCCCCTGTTAGCAGAGACGTCACCTCCGAAATGTTTGAAAGCCACAAGGACTCTAATAACTCAAACTCAACCTTAGCATCCTCATTCTTCCATAAAGACGTCAGCTTCTCACATCCATGGATCTTCAAATCTCTAACCTTGCTTAATCCCTTCCTGAACAATTCCCCTGTTTGCAGAGACGTCACCTCCGAAATGTTTGAAAGCCACAAGGACTCTAATAACTCAAACTCAACCTTAGCATCTGTATGTACCAACACTTTACAACCGTCAATTTTTATTTGACGAAGTTGTTTGTAGTTGGCAATCGAAACCACCAATTCCTCACATTTAACAATTTCAAGTTCGGCTAACAAATCGAGCTTCTCTGGCAGCTCACCTTCCAACTTTGAACATCGTTTGATTGAAAGCCTTTTCAGGCAAGGGAAAAAAGCACTTTCGTGATCCAGTTGGAAAGGAAGCCACACCTTCCAATGCTACATATCCACAAACTCAAGAATCTCTAACAGCGGAAAAGGCAAGATACACTCGCCATAAAACTCAGCACCAACACTTTCCACTGCATTCATTCCTCTAATATAAAGTTCTTTGAGATGAGGCAATTGTCCGAGAGGTGGCACCGATAAACAATTGTTACATTCCTCTAACCGCACAAGCACCATATTAGAGAACAAATGACCTCCAACCCATGATGAAAATTCCTCTACGGCATAACTCTTGATGGTGAGCTCCTTGAGCTTTGTATGAGGCTCTAACATGTCAAGCACAACGGATTCCGTTTCTCTCGTGTCGCTTGAATGAGACCATTTTAGGACCAACGAATCAAGCCTCTCCTTGCATTTCAAGTTGGCCCTCCTGGCATCCTTGACATCAGTCACATTCTCCAATCTTGAGAGGCACAGTGTCCCTCGAAGATGCAATAGGGGCCCTATCTCTCTTATCCCTGATTGATCACTACCTTTGCTCACCACAAAAAGAGGCAATGATTGTAGATTCGTCAATCGACCTAGTTGCCAAGGCATTCCTTCCAACGAATATGCACCTGAGTTGTTGAGATGGCGCAAATTAATTAGATTACTCATGTTTGTGGGCAATGACTTCAATTTAGAACAACCTTCCAATATCAATGTTTGCAAGTGGTAAAGAGTGCTTGTTGACTTAGGCAAACAGGTTATATCTGTGTAGGAAAGGTCAAGATACTGTAACAACCTCAAATCACCGATTGACTTTGGCAGCTCAGTTATTGTGTAGCAATTGAACGAGAGCACTCGTAAGTATTGCAACTGTGGTAATAGCTCAAAAGTAACCTTACGAGACAAACATTTGTACCATCCACCAGAATCTGAAAGTGAAAGTGGCAGGAATGTTCGCAAGCGTTCAGCTTTTGGGAAGTCCTCAAATCTCGTAACTCCATCAAATTCACCAGCAATGAAAGACGAATGGCGAGCCCTTTGAAAGCAAGTGCTTTGCAAGTTATCACCTTGCTTATCTTCCAACCTAAAACATATTTCTCCTGCTGCCCAATGTGCTAAATCATTAACGAGGTCATGCATTACATATCTTGAATTGGTTTTGCTTGATTCTTGAAACAGCGACCTTGCTAATAGCTCTCGAAAGTAGTCGCGGCCCAAATCCTCCATTTGTTTATTGTCATCAGGTTTTTGTTGAATCAAACCCTCTGCCATCCACAAAAGGACGAGCCGCTTCTCCCAAAATTCGTAGTCATTTGGAAGTATTGAGCAGTAGGCAAAACACCTCTTCAAATGTGATGGAAGATAGTGATAGCTCAACTTTAGTACGGGGAGAAGGCTACTGTTATCTGCAAGATTCCATAGTTTGTTGTCCAATATTTCTCCCCACTCATCTTTTTCTTTGCAAAGTAAGAGACCACCGAGAGTCCTCGCAGCTAATGGTAAGCCACAACATTTTTCAACAATTTTTGTCCGAATCAACTCATAATTTACTGGTTTTACACTATTAACTTCCCCAAATGCATGTCGCTCAAATATTTCCAAACAATCATCATCTGCCATACATTCCAAATTATGAACTCCCGTGGCTCCCATAGTCCTTGCAACATGCACATCACGGGTTGTCACAATAATCTTACTTCCTCCTGCTCCGACGCCAAAAGGGGATTTAAGTCTTGTCCAGAGATCGTGTAGATCATAGTCGCCTTTGTTCCAGATATCATCTAACACGATTAAAAACTTTTTTCCTCTTAATTGCTCACACAAATCATGCTGAATTTTACTAAACTCCTCCATTTGAACGGGTCGGGATGTGATGGATTCAAGAATTGCCTTTGTCACTCGCACCACATTGAAGTCATCAGACACAGATACCCACACCTTAGGCTCAAACTCCTTCATGGCATCATCTTTGTGGTTGAATACAAGTTGAGCAAGTGTCATCTTCCCAACTCCGGGCATGCCAACTATAGCAACTACACCAAAATTGACAGCACCTTCATGCTCGTATTTTCTTGACAACAATTCAATAATCTCCCCTTTGTCACCATCCCTTCCAACAACTAGCTTTTCATCTAACACATCTGAACTTGGTAGACTTCGCGATTCCTTAGCAGACGTCCCAGTATCTTTCAAGCCAAACTTCTCTTTCCGTTCAGATATGTCTTGCAACCGCTCCGTAATCTTCTTCATTTCGGAGTTCATATCCCTATTGAATTTAATTTTGAAAAGTGAGGTCCGCACCTTGTTGCTTGTGCGGGCTTGATCACGTCCCTCTATCATGCGCTTCAACATTTGGGTGTCAAATTTGTCCAACATGTCTTCGACATCATAAGCCAAGTCTCTGAGATCATCGAGCCACAGTTTCACAGCATCCTCAGTGAGTTGTTTTTCCTCGGCATCGCTGAGCACCGCTCCTATTGCAGTTAACACGGCCCTCCACTTGTCCAGCTTCTTTCTGACGCCCCGGAAGTTTCCAATGTAGTTGAGAATCTCGCGGGAGGTCAACCTGTTGAGCAGCACCTTTAGAAACGCCGCAAGAAAACCCTCTCCCAGTGCCATGTTAAGAGTGAAGGGCACTCCAAGAAATCAAAGAAATAGTGAAACGTTCTTGAGCAATATTGAGGTGCAGAACTCAACGAAGGGAAGAGTAACAGCCAAAGACTAGTTCCTTGGAAATTTGGAAGCTTGATCTGTTGAGGCTCAGAAATAGTCACAACTGCACAAATTAAAATGATGAGAAGTAATTATTGATGCCTGCGCAATCACATACAAATTTATAGTAACAGTGAAGTAATCAATTAATGGACTCCTAGCAAAGCATATCTAGAGGTGACAATTTGGGAATGGCTAGGGATTGCCTACACCATAACCGTCCCGTCAGGTATGCAGTCCTGTTACGTTTTATGGAAATGTTCTTTTTCCTAATATATACAAAATAAGTTAGGATCAAGGAACAAATATTTTTACATTTGTTTTTAACAAATATTCTTAAATAAGAGATAAAATGATTCATCCTTAATTAACGTGGCTGGAAATTAAAAAAAAAATTTCAACCAATCATAATAATTTGAGAAAAATATATCAAAGTTGTTTCGGAAGCTTCACATGAGGTAATACCATCTACTAAGAGACTTGGGTGGTCTTGGGACCATCCGGAAGCCCGAACAAGTGGCTGCAAGGACCTCCGTGGACCACCAAGTGTGGTGGAGGAGAAGAAGAGTGGGGCCGCACCGTGTTCTGACTTCTGGTGGGTCTTCTGGTATTCTGCAACCGAGATGGAGAGAAGAAGTTTTTTTTTTTTCTTTTTTTTCTTTTTTTTCTTTTTAAAGGAGTCAAGTCATTTAAGTAAAACGGTGTGTTTTGATGCGTAGCTTGAAAACCCCACCCCACTCAACCGAAGGGACAAGGATTGTCTACCCTCCCACTTCCAATGCCCTCTCGTGCCCTCTTATTTGTATGGTCACGGTTAAGTCACGTCAACATTTTATATTACTATTCATTTTTGTCTTATTATCTCTATAAAAAAACAATATAAAATGTTAACTTGGCTTAACTGTGACCACACAAAACAGGAGGACACGGAAGGACACCGGAAGTGGAAGGGCAGACAATCCTTGTCCCAACCGAAGACCATCAGCACAATACCAGTCTCCTCTCCAGTCTCCACAAACCACGATCAGATTGATCACACGGTCCACACCACCGACATAACCTACCATTCTGCTGTCCTTTCTTCACCACCACTTAATCCCCTCGTTTCTAAATTTAACTGAGATTTTTATTTTAGTCTAAATTAATCATGTAGAATGTTAAATTCATAATAATTATAGGTATTGTTTTAACTATTATGATTTTTTGATATCCCCGATAAGCTACAAATATGTACAAGGAAAGCTTATTTATTGATATCCCCGATAAGCTACAAATATGTACATATACATGAGTCAAAATAAGCACACAAGAGGGAGCCTTCACAAAGGTTGCTTAGGAGAAGTCTCAGCAGTCGGTAGAGCCCCAGAAAGAGAAGGCACCGGAGGGGGATCATTTGGAGCCTCAGTACTGGACAGAACCCTAGAAGGAGGAGGCATCAGAGGTTGATCATTTGGAGCTTCATTACGCGGTACAGCCCCAGAAGACGAAGGCAATAAATGCCTTTGGAACAAACCCACAAATCTCTGATGATCAAGTAAAACCTGACCATCAGTTTCCTTCATCTGGTCAAGCTTCCTCTTCATGTTTGTAGCATAGTCATGTGCGAGCCGGTGCAACTGTTTATTCTCATGCTTGAGCCCTCTAATCTCCTGTTTGAGACTCATCACTTCAGCCGCCAATGATTCAACTTGGCGGGTTCGAGCAAATAGGCGTTGGGCCATATTAGACACAGAACCTGCACACTGAACACTGAGAGCCAGCGAATCCTTAACAGCTAACTCATCAGACCGTTTGGAAAGTAGTCTGTTATCTTTGGGAGTGAGAAGGTTCCTGGCCACCACCGCAGCGGTCATATCATTCTTCATCACGGAATCCCCAACGGTAAGAGGACCAGTAGGGGAGACGAAGGATGGGCGCCATATGTTGTCTGGAGAAGGCGGGGCTGCCTCTTCAACAAGGTTCAAGTCAAAACGACGGTCGGAGGGGCCAGACATTTTCAAAGGTGTTGAAGAGAGAAGAGGTCGGACAAATCAAGATCTTAGAAGTGCAAGAATGAAGCTTCTACTGGTGGAGATTCAAGTGTGCTTTGGAACTTAATGCCAGCCCCTATAAAAATCTGCACTCGACGAAGCTTCAGAAATCGAAGAGGCGCCTGCTCAGAAATCGAAGAGGCGTTTGCTTTCTCAAAAGCTGGGCTGCTTAGAGATCACGAGGGTTGATCTCAGAAATCGAAGAGGCGTTTGCTTTCTCAAAAGTTGGGCTGCTCAAAGACCACGAAGGCCGATCTCAAAAATCGAAGAGGCGCTCGCTTTCTCAAAAGCTGGGCTCCCCAGAGACCACGAGGGCCGATATCAGAAATCGAAGAGGCACCTACTTTTTCCAGCCTTTTCCAGCCTTGTCAGCACCTGTCACACGCACACTCAGTTTTGCGGAAATTATGGGCATTCTGTCAAAGACTTCTGGGGAAGTAGAAAACACATGAATCTTACTGTTCAATCACCCACTTCCCACACGCAACAATAGCTCATGGGTACCACAGATAACTTTGCCAAAGTTCTCTGCCAAAGTTGAGCACGTGAAGCTTGCAGCTCCCACTACATCGCTCTGACCAAGAAGGGTAAAAGAATAGCAAAGAAACAGCACTAACAAAGTTTAGACCCATAAATTTTGAAGGTCTAACTACCATATTATTACCCACAAGGGTAAAGGAACAGTACCACTGCTGGATAATTGGAAAGTCCCTGTGTGTCAACCTCTGTGCTTCGTGGCAAGGTAGACTAGCAAACATGCCCAACCTTTACTCACATTCGAGAAAACACTCCCAATAAGATTGCTTGCTCCAAAATCGAAGAGGCACCGTCCTCCGAATCTCGAGAGCCAGACTCCCAACATGACTACTTTCTTAAAAATCGAAGAGAGGGTAAAGGAACAGTACCATTGCTGGATAATTGGAAACTCCCTGTGTGTCAACCTCTGTGCTTCGTGGCAAGGTAGACTAGCAAACATGCCCAACCTTTACTCACATTCGAGAAAACACTCCCAACAAGATTGCTTGCTCCAAAATCGAAGAGGCACCGCCCTCCGAATCTCGAGAGCCAGACTCCCAACATGATTACTTTCTCAAAAATCGAAGAGACACTGCTCCCCGAATCTCGAGAGCCAGACCCCCAGCATGATTGCTTTCTCAAAAATCGATGAGGCATCGTTCTCCGAATCAATCGAAGAGGCGCTCGCTTTCTCAAAAGCTGGGCTGCTCAGAGACCACGAGGGCCGATCTCAGAAATCGAAGAGGCACCTACTTTTCTAGCCTTGTCAGCACCTGTCACACGCACACTCAGCTTTGCAGAAATTATGGGCATTCTGTCGAAGACTTCTGGTGAAGTAGAAAGCACATGAATCTTACTGTTCAATCACACCCACTTCCCACACGCAACAATAGCTCATGGGTACCACAAATAACTTTGCCAAAGTTCTCTGCCAAAGTTGAGCACGTGAAGCTTGCAGCTCCCACTACATCGCTCTGACCAAGAAAGGTAAAAGAATAGCAAAGAAACAGCACTAACAAAAGTTTAGACACATAAATTTTGAAGGTCTAGCTACCATATTATTACCCACAACTGTAAAGGAACAGTACCACTGCTGGATAATTGGAAAGTCCCTGTGTGTCAACCTCTGTGCTTCGTGGCAAGGTAGACTAGCAAACATGCCCAACCTTTACTCACATTCGAGAAAAACACTCCCAATAAGATTGCTTGCTCCAAAATCGAAGAGGCACCATCCTCCGAATCTCGAGAGCCAGACTCCCAACATGACTACTTTCTCAAAATCGAAGAGAGAGGTAAAGGAACAGTACCATTGCTGGATAATTGGAAAGTCCCTGTGTGTCAACCTTTGTGCTTCGTGGCAAGGTAGACTAGCAAACATGCCCAACCTTTACTCACATTCGAGACAACACTCCCAACAAGATTGTTTGCTCCAAAATCGAAGAGGCACCGCCCTCCGAATCTCGAGAGCCAGACTCCCAACATGATTACTTCCTCAAAAATCGAAGAGACACTGCTCTCCGAATCTCGAGAGTCATACCCCCAGCATGATTGCTTTCTCAAAAATCGAAGAGGCATCGTTCTCCAAATCTCGAGAGCCAGATACCACAGACCACTTTTTCAAAGTGCTCTGACAGAGTTAAAACATGTGAAACTGGCAGCTCCCACTACCGTGCTATGACCAAGCAGGGTAAAGGAATAGCATTACTACTTGTTGTTAGGGAGACTCCTATATATGTCGACCTCCATCCCCAACGGACAGGCAGACCTGCAAAAATGCTCAACCCTTCATCATATTTGAGAGGGCACTCCCAACGAAGCCTTTCGAAATATTTCAGCTTTCTTTCCCCCCGATAATACCTCTGCAAACAAGCTATACTAGAGCAAGAATATCTCATATCATCAGGGTTAAAAGCAAGAGTATCCCATATCATGCTTTTTCCCTGTCTTTTCTTTTGGCCTTGTTTTTTACCTGCAAGACAAGGAGAAAGAGAGCAATCAGTCAGCACTTGGAATCAAGCTTCCAGCCAGGAACTGACTGCCTGGAACCCCTTACCTGATTACTTACCTGGCATTGCTCTCGAGTACTCATCTTCAACATCTTATGTTTCCAGGGAAGATTCCGCATCTGCTTGAGGAACAGATAGGGCAAGTGCGAAGGATACAAGGAAGCATGTGGAGACAAGCGTAACAGCACACGGGTCGATACATTCATTACTCTGTCAAAAGCAAAAGTATCCCATATCAGCAGGGTGGAACGTACTCTAGATTTGATGGACTTGTTTTGACCCTCAAATTCTTCAGTCGGCCTTATACTCTGGAGGAAACCAGAAAACCCTCCAGCTCAGTTCAAGAATAAGCCTGTGGAAAGTTACTTCTTCAAAAGCAAAAGTATCTCATATCATCTCTTCTCATTTTTCTTCTCTTTATCCTTCATGCTGCTGCAAGATGGGGAGAAGGTGAACAATCAGTCGGAGCTCTGATTGCTTACCTTGTCTGTCACCTCTTTCAGCAGACCCCCTAGCTCGGCGACTTGGGGGACTCCTACTACATGGTTTGTATCGCGCTTGACCAAGCCTGAAACTACAAGTAAGCTTCAAGTGAAATTGATACATTACCTTGTGCATCTCCACCAGTTAAAGATACCACCCCTGGATGGAGGAAGAGTACTTCCAGAGAAGATGCCACATCTACCTATGAGATAGATAAGGCAAGTCAAGACGACACCACACTCCGATACTTAGAAGTTTCGTGATTACGAGATCATTCTCCCACAATATTTCCTAATGTCATTTGTACTAAATCATTCACTTGTACTCACTAAATGAGAGCTTGAACCTATGTACTTGTGTAAACCCTTCACAATTAATGAGAACTCTTCTATTCCGTGGACGTAGCCAATCTGGGTGAACCACGTACATCTTGTGTTTGCTTTCCTATCTCTATCCATTTATATACTTATCCACACTAATGACCGGAGCAATCTAGCGAAGATCACAAAAAGCGATCGTTTTTCGCTACCTAGGATCTATCTTGCAAGAGAACGGAGAATTAGATGGAGATCTCAACCATAGAATACGAGCTGGATGGAAAGAGTGCATCCGGCGTGTTGTGTGACCGTCGTAGGCCACTGAAGCTCAAGGGAAAATTTTATAGGACGGCAATAAGGCTAGCGATGTTGTATGGCATAGAATGTTGGGTGGTGAAGCATCAACACGTACACAAAATGGGTGTAGCGGAGATGAGGATGCTTCGTGGGATGTGTGGGCACACGAGAAAGGATAAGATTGGGAATGAGGATATCCGAGGTAAAGTAGGAGTAGCCGAAATTGTAGGAAAGATGAGAGAAAATCGGCTCCGGTGATTTTGAACATGTGCAAAGAAGGCCGACTGACGCTCCGGTTCGAAGATGTGACTACGGGACAGAGGTTCAGGGCCGAAGGGGTAGAGGAAGACCTAGGACAACTTTGGAAGAGACTCTAAGAAAAGACTTAGAGTACTTGGATCTAACGGAGGACATGACACAAAACCGAGCGCAATGGCGTTCTAGGATTCATATAGCCGACCCCACTTAGTGGGAAAAGGCTTTGTTGTTGTTGTTGTTGTTGTTGTAGAATGTTAAATTCATAATAGTTATAGGTATTTTTTTTCTTTTAGCTTCATCAATTAATATGTTTTTTTTTTGTTTTGAGTAATTGATATGTGTAGAAATTAGAAGTATGGAACGATATTACGCATACCTCATCGTTGACAAATAAGTCTTTGTACTTTGTAGCTTGTAATGTTGTTTGTACAAAAATTATGAATGAAAAATTGTAGTCTAGCATTTAATTTTCAATATTATTTTTCGCTTAATATTTTTTAGGGCCTTTATATTAGGACCACCGATATTAAAATCTTCGATCTGCCACTGGGTAAGACTTCATATTTTTCATTGTTTTAATGCTTTCAACGATATCGGCATGCTTATAGCTGGGTTATGAATGATATTCCTTATAAAAAGTATAGTTGATGATGAGGATCACACACCTAATAATTGGCCATATGAAGTAGACTTTGGAGTAATAGATCATTTTCATATCCGCTTGGACCCTCCCTTTCGCTCACGAGTATCGAGGGACAAGCATGGAATTAAGTTATAGAATAAAGATGGGTGTGTGAATCATTTTTTGGGTAACCTGGTTGGTGTTCCAGTACGGGACTAACAATTTAACCTACTAACGTTATCGTTTGTCAAAAGAAAAACACGTACACCATAATATTACTCAATGATAAGGCACAATAAAACACACCATAAAAACTCAAGATTGAAAAAATCATGCTAGTAAGCAATGCATCATTTTTCTTAAATTTTAACATGTTGAACAAATAAAATGGGGCAGTTTTGGGATTACCTTGCAATCCTACGTTTCAAGACTCGAAATCTGCACGGATATTGGACAAGATCTGTAGCAAGAAGCAGTTTCATGGAAGTCTGTCAGGTCATGAGGGCGCTTGTTTGCACTGATGATCAATAAATCCAAACTGAATGATGGAATAATTAAGGCTGAAAACTGAACAAATTATATAGCTGGTTATCGATGAAATAATTAATTAAGCATACAATCTTGAAGAAAAATGAAATAATTAATTTATAAATAATGGATTCCGCATATATAGTTGCAAGAGGAACTTACTGCGTTCAAGTTTTCAGATGATGATGAAGATGAAGGGACTTGTTTTCCATAGATTATGAAAATCAACAGATCCAGACCACTTTAGAGCTCTTCAATTTGCAATGAGGATTAGGTGTTGAAAGACCACAGCAAGTCTTCCTCTTTTTACTTTCTCTTTATTTTTTTGTGGGGTCATGATCATGCTGTTTTATCTTTTTAATTGCTTTCTTATCTCCTATGTCCCACACGGTTATACTTTTCTTTTCCTTTATACGAACGATTTTGGGAGATGAGGAACCAAACACGCAACTCAGGGTGGAAGAGTGATTGCTCGTAAACAACCGAGTTGCATTTCCTTGCAATACCGATTATTTTATTTTGAGATGGTGATTGGTTCAATTTTATAGGCCATGGTAGATAATGTTGAGACTCTCAAACAGCCTGAGCCACACAACACAAAGAAGTAGAAAATAATCCTGCAAAAAGTTACCATGGATTATTGTTTACCATCTTGTAGTTATACTACTTAATTAGTCACAAAGCTATATTAGATCAATTGAAGATGAAGAGCAAGTTTTATTAGCATATAATTAATGGACATCTAGCTGTTAAAGAAAGGAAACAAGTCAAACAACATTGAGCAAGATTTTCATGAAGTGAAATTTACTAGCTTATTATGTTAATTTTGAAGATTAAGAGAGAAGAATTAAATTCAGTGGAATTGAATTAGTGACAAGTAATTTTAGATTTATGTCTTGCCGTGTGAATTTGCTTTTTACTAATAAGTCTCCCAACAACTTGACCTTTCCACTACCCAAAAGGTGAAAATGCACGAACCCGAACATGCTAAGAAAGTAGAAAAACTAAGTTAACGTAATGTATGTGAAGAGAGACTAAACACAAATTGTATTGTTAACCCATGATGTCATGATAATGCCCCAACATGTGTCTAGTCCATTCCCTAAATATGGTCATTGCATGCTGAGAGCTCTACTGGATGGTTTGTAGAAGATACCATATTCGTCCTTGATATATTTGAAGGAGTTGTACAATTTAGGATTTAGTAAAAGGGTGTGATATCTATACACCAATTTTTACCTCTCACACACCCTTTTAATTTTTGACCGTTGGATCGGATAAATGGAAGTAGATCAAATGACAGAAGTTAACAAGAGGTATGTGAGAAGTAAAAAAAAAAGAGTGTGAGAGAAAGGGATCATTTCAACACCGATTTTGGGGGGGAACCAAACGTTATGAGTGACTGCTGGTAAACAACTGAGCTACATTCCTTTCAACACCGATTATATTATTTTGTGATCGAAAGGGATCATTTCTTGATTCCTTTTACCTAATCTTCTTTATTAAGGTTCTTGAAATCTGATTCAACAACTAAAGTTATTATAATTTTTAAAATAGATCCGTGTTTTTAGTTGTTGAATCAAATTTTAAGAACACGGATTATTTGATGAAGATAATTAGGTCGAAAGGATCTGAAAAGGACCCCTTTCCTTTGTGGGGGTGTTTGGTTCAGTTTTTTGTAGGCCATTGTAGATAATATAGAGAATCAATTTAAAATAGTAAAAAACTCTTAAACAACCTGAGCCACACAACACGAAGAAGATGAACATGATCCTGCCGACACCAGATTTACCAAAATTATCATGGATTATGCTTTACCATTTTGGAGTTATACTACTTAATTAGTCACATAGCTATATTAATTTATGATCCATTTGAAGATGAACTTATTAGCATATAATTAACGAACATCTCGATGTTTAGGAAGGGAAACAAGTCAAACAACATTGAGCAAGATTTTCATGAAGTGAAATTACTAGTTTATTATGACAATTTTGTAGGTTAAGAGAGGCCAATTAAGCTTGGTAAATTGAATTAGTGACAATGAATTTTAGACTTACGTCTTCGCCGTGTCAATTTGCTACCAACTTGACCTTTCCACTATCCAAAAACTGAAAATGCACGAACTGGAACATGCTAGGAAACTAGAAAAACAAAGTTAACACGATGTATGTGGAGAGAAACTTACACACGAAATTCTATTGTTCACCCATGAAGTCATGATGGCGCCCCAACATGCGTCTAGTCATTCCTCAAATATGGTCACTGCCTGTCAAGAGCTCTGATGAATGGTTTACAGAAGATAACAAATAAGGAATTTGAGTTCTTGTAGTCTATAGGTCATATTGAACCATTCTCCCTTCGGAATGATTGGAAATTCTAGTCTACATTACCCATCAAAATCATGGTTATTTATCATAATGCAAAAATAGTAATGCTCCTCCCTTGGCTCATGTATGCGTTTACAATGCAGTACAAGGAGGTTAGTCGAAACCTGGTTATTAAGATTGATTGTAAGGGTGAGGTGGTTGCGAATACAGTTGGCTGGTCGGAAAACACGGCAATCATATAATTATTTTGAATTATAATAGTATTTATAGAATTATTTTAGTTGATTTTTTCATTGGTACCTAAACTAAAAATTATGTTACTTGAACTAATAGCTGTATTGAAATTGGTATTTAAAAGATCCCAAACACTTAAAAACTTTTTTTTTTAAATGATTCTTTAATAAAAGACAAAAAAATAATTTAGTATAAATTATCCTATCTTCGTGCAAAACCGAAAGACTAGTTTGCCATTATTTTAATTGCGTGGAAACTCTTACTTTACTGCCAAACCTGCATGCAAGGGTCAGAGGAAGGGAGGAGGATTGTCTGCCCTCCTAGTTTCAATGCTCTTCCATGCCCTCCTGTTTTGTGTGGTCACGGTTAAGCCACATCATTATTTTATATTGTTTTTTTATAGATATAATAAGACAAAAATAAATAGTAATATAAAATATTAACGTGGCTTAACCATGACCACACAATCAAGATGGCATGGAAGGGCACTGAAACTAGGAGGGCAGACAATCCTCCTCCCAGAGGAAAAAGATAAAAAATTCTTTGAAAAAAAAGAAAAGAAAAAGGTACACATTTTTCTCGCTGCTTTAAGTTGAACACACAATTAATAATAGACTACTAGTCTCTACTGCAATATTATTATTTTGGTAGACCATAGGAGCACAAGTTATTGTAAAAGTCTTGTGACGAGAGATAAATCTTATTAGAGCTAAAAAAATGTCACAAGAAATTTCAAGGAAATTAATATAACTGTATATATCCATGAACATTGGCAACATGTGATAAGCAACTTCTTCTAGGTCTGTAAATTAACAGACAAACAGAAGGAAAAATGTTCATCTCTAACAAGAATCCAGCAATGTCAGAATATCACAAGGCATCCCGGAGAAAATCCCAGTACATGCGACGTTTTTTTCTAGAACAAGTGATAAAGTCAGGACACCACTTCACCACTGTTCCTAAAACATAAGGGCTTGTAGGGCACCCTTGTTTCCGGATACGGTGGAGAGTTATCAGTTTGGCCCATGAATCCTCGATGCCATACTCTTTCATCACCCATATGTCAAGAAAATCCTCAGGACAATTACGACCACGCGTCGTCGTGAACATAGCAATGGAGTTTCCATCACCTGAAACAGACAAGTGATAATCTAATGGTTCATCCTGTCTGAAACTCTTTAGCACCCTTATCTCGCAAAATAACTCACCGTCCACATCAATTGCTAAAATGAAATTTTGATAACGACCATCGTTCAAGCAGCGCCATGCCAGCCAATGAACTGCCCCGTTCACAAAAGCCTGAAATTTGCAAGAATAAAACTTTACAAACGGGATCAAAAGAACGAGGACTACTCCACAAGCCTCTAGCAAGTGAATAAGCCTCATAAAAAGCATTCGGATCCTCGCATTCCGACCACACGAAGAAATCTATTGCGCTTGGGAACACTTGGATACTCTAGCTTGCAGTACTCATCAAAAGCATGGTTATCATAATGCAAATAGTAATTCTGCTCCACTGGATTGTCTCCACGAACACAATGCAGAAGGAGTTGGTGGGTGCCAAACTGGTTAAAATCGATGGTAAGGCTGAGGTGGGTGCGAATAAAGCTTGGACTTTTTATCATGGAGTTCCAAGGCTTGGACACCGAGGTGCATCTGATCAAAGCTTTAGGAGGTAGTCTCAAAAGGATATCATGTACGATTTCCTTAGGCAAACTGCTAACCATTGCTTCAAACTTCACTTCCCTAGCTGCCAATTTCATAGACATAGATTAAGTGAGGAAATATAGTGGAGCCAGTTACAGAACATCGTGCTCCTCCATCGAAGCACTTAGGAGAACAACATTGTCAAAACTCTGCCGGTGGTTGATGAATGCAGCAAAACCATTTTTTCTGTGCATCAGGAAATCAAACCAAATCAAATCATCCGCAAAGAGTGAGGAATTTAAGCATATTAGATTTTGGCAGCAGAAATAATCACCTCCAGTTATTCATTCTATTAGTCTACTATTGGAAACGCAGCAGGTACAGAAAACGCATAGAAAAAACGAAAAGGTCACACAATGATCAATTGACAAAAGCAAATATTTCCAGGGCCATTGGTTCTTTCAATTATTCACAATAAAACAAACAAATATTCCTATTAGGCTACATCTGTCTAAAAGGAGACAGAACCCGAGTTAATGTATGCCAATTCCACTTGCATGGAATAATCCAGATAAAACAGCCGAATCATCTTGTGCTCTTTTATTTTTCAAATATCTTGGCCCTAACATTAGATATGTCTTTTGCCACATTTCCTTACTAGAGTTCTATATAAGTCAGTTGCATTGATTTTCACATCAAATGGTATGCTGAGTTTGATCGATAAGTCAGTGTTACATATAGTTGTATTTTGTACTACCAACGTCACTTGAAAAGCAATAACTTGCAACTAAGAAAACCGCAAAGAATGTATTTCTATTGGCTGACCCATGTATATATCAAATCATTAGAGAAAGAAACGACAACAGTTATGAGAAAAAATCTTACAGACGAAGGCCTGCTAGTGCCAGGATCCACTCCTCCTCCATGCCTGATATTAGGATCAACCTTTCCTGGTGACTCGGGTTTTCCACCTGTCTTCTTCTCATCCCTAGCCTTGTTAAAGATCACAGTAAACCCCTCAGCCGAAGCAGGATCATTGACGTCCCATTCACCAAATTTTGGGAGTCCCCTGCCTTTTTCCTGTTAGAATTCCGTAATATATTCTCATTGTTATGCAGCATAGCAAGGCAGAGGGCACCCAAGTAATAAGTATACAAATTTAATGATTGCTAAGCAATTACGTTCTCTTAACTACAAAAACAGAAGTATAGGCAAGCACTCTGTTACATCCCGGGCATATTTAGGTTGTCTTCAAGCTTACAGGTACTGGCCCCATATACCTAAAAACGTACCCCAATATCATACCACTAGTCTTTACATGCCAAACACCAATCTAACAATTCTAACCTGCTCTCAACCTTGGGCCTAGTGCTATATCATTTCAACTTTCAAAAAAACTTTGGTAAGGATCTGAGTCGGAACATAAGTGCTTACAAACTTTCTCTTGGTAGTAGGTTTTTGCGACACTGAGTTAAAGTCCTAACTCTTCTTCAGTGCTGCATCTTTTGGATAGTCCTAGAGTGAAAAAAAGAGAGGGATTTCCTCCCTGATTGTTGTGATAGGAATCACTCAAAGACAATGGGAACCACTCCAATTCATACTAGCATTTCACTGAGTTCAACACTGTAATGAAAAAACACGAGAATATACAAACATAAAGCAACCAGCACACCATGGAGCTAATATCCTATGACGAAGGATAGAAAATAGATATCAGACAGGAAGGAAGAAGCTCAGAAAAGGCAACTGAAACACAACCATTTAGACAACATATATCAATTTTCACGAAGCACTTAGCACAGATGTCGAAAGATACACCAATTGACTGAAATACCAAAAAGGATAAAGAACTCTAACCTTCGTCGAAGACATAAGAACCCAGTTAAAAGAAATCTATTTAGCCCTTAAAGAAATCCTTGTGTTGGGCAAGGCAATAACAACAAAACCTCTTCATCCATCTAGTTTACGCATTCAAAGTCGGGATGAAGATCACAAACATACATACAGAACCATACAAACACTTGACCATGAGAACTTAGGAAGTACCCGATGCCCTTAATGTACTAAGCATTAAAAGTAGATACAGAAACCAGTCATAAAAACCATGAGGAAGCAATTTGTATAAAGATTATATCCCCCACTCAAACAATGAAAGATAATAAAAAAAAACAACAATACCTGTTATTCTAATTACAAATTGAGCATCCAACCCGAAACCAATTGGCAATGGGTGGAGACGCCCAAGATTATTCCAAAAAGCACTTAAAAAGTGTTTTTGGAATCTGAAATCAATTTCAGTCACTTTAAAATCACTTTCAAATAAGTCATTGACCATCAATAGTTTGGCATGATCCGGTTAGGTTTGATAATTTTTTACACGACCCGTTAATTCGATATAAAACAACATAAAAATAGCAGGTTTCGAGTTAATATGTTAACAAGTCGATTCGTTATCAAGCTGCTCATTAAGAACCTTTTAACGAGTTGGATACTTGTAGAATCAAGAACTTGATAAAATATTGTTTGTCAAATTTAAACATCAAGCAATGTCTTGCAAGACCCACTAACCCAACACAAAACAACACAACTTATTAATAACTCAGATCGTAATTAAATGACCTTGGTTTAACAAACATTGCTCAAGATTCAAATTCGGTCAGTCCCAAATAAAGCTCGTAAATATGTGCTCAAGTTTGACTCAAATGATTTCATAAAAGCTCAAGCTTGATACAAAATGAGGTCAGGTTTTTGGTAGAATTATCTTAATGAAAGATAAAACAAGTTCGAATTATTGGACTGTTGACCCAAAAAAATGTTTAAATTTGAAAATTGAAAAAAGCTCGACCTAATAAAATTTGAAAGGGTAGTGCTATCAGCAAACATAGGAATCCGGGAGAAGAAACGTTGGCCGAGAAGTATCCAGGTTGTCGCCAATTGAAGGCCTCCTAAAGCAGCCACTCCTCAACCCCCAAAACCTTGACCCAAACCAAATATTGTGGATTACTTTACAAGAATAAACATGATTAATAATAATAATAATAATAATAATATTAATATTAAAACATTCCTCGAGAGATGATACCTGGACCATTAGCTTCATGTATCTCTATTTTAGGGATGTTGGATATTTTGTGCCAGTAGAGTCCTTTTCCTGGTTGGCATCTCACTTTTAGCACAGGACACTTATAGATGATAAGCTGACCAAGTGAAGGAGGCAGACCCTCCTCTGGAATGAATGCTAGCTTTGGACATCTAGAGAGTTGCAGAGATTGAAGGGAGTTGAGGAATTGAAAGCCCTTGCTGCTCAGTCTCTTCAGATTCGGGAAGCCTTCTATTCTGAGTTCAGTGAGAGATTTGGGGAGGAGCGGCTCCATCCGGACTATGTCAGGTGGAAACGACACCGTACGTGTGTTTTTTCCACTGATCCCCAACTTTCTAAGAGAGGTGAGTCTGTGCAACCCCCACTCCAACTCCCACAATGACTTACAGCTCTTGACCTTCCAAATTTCAAGTGATGTTAGGTTGGGAGGAAAAGTCAAACCTTTACGGTAGTCGATCTTCAATCCCTCAAGAGAGTTGAGATTGTGCATGTCTTCGGGAAACGCCTCCAATTTCTCGCATTCGTTGATCATGATATCTCTCAGGTTGGAGGGTCTTCTCTCCGCACTCAGTCTCGGGATGGAAACAAGACTTCCACAGTTCCCAATAATTAGAGTTTGAAGATTGCTAAGGTGGCATAAGCCATCCGGTAAGGATTCCAGATTTTGGCAATTCCAGATCCTAATATATTCAAGGCAGTGATTGGTGTTGTCGCTGAATAACCCGTTCGGTTCTACTAGTGATTTCAAACTTCTGCAATTACTTATCTCTATTCTTCTGAGAAATTGGGGAATCTGGAATTTTGCAAAATATATCAACGAATGGCACTCTCTAATCTCGATGTTTTTAAGAGACGGTGGCAGACCAACTTCTGGAAAAGAAACTAGACGTGAACATTTGTGTATGCGAAGCTCTTGAAGAGACGACAGCTCATTTAATCCTTTTGGTAGCTTCAAAAGATTTTCGCACTTTTTTAACTCCAATATTTGCAATTGCAGCAACTCCTCTGCTTCTTCTCCCAATTCTTCAACTAGAGGAGAGTTGTCTTCAATTTCCAAACGGCCAAGACAAGTCAACTGCTGCAATAATCTACCCTCATTCTTCAATGACGACGTCAGCTTCTCACATCCATTAATCTTCAAATCTCTAGCCTTGCTTAATCCCTTCCTGAACAATTCCCCTGTTTGCAGAGACATCACCTCCGAAATGTTTGAAAGGCACAAGGACTCTAACAACTCAAACTCAACCTTAGCATCTGTATGTACCAACACTTTACAACTGTCAATGTTTATTTGACGAAGTTGTTTGCAATTGGCAATCGAAACCACCAATTCCTCACATTTAACAATTTCAAGTTCGGCTAACAAATCGAGCTTCTCTGGCAGCTTGCCTTCCAACTTAGAACATCCTTTGATTGAAAGCCTTTTCAGGCAAGGGAAAACACTACTTCCTTGATCCAGTTGGAAAGGAAGCCACACCTTCCAATGCCGCATATCCACAAACTCCAGAATCTCTAACAGCGGAAAGGGCAAGACACACTCACCATAAAACTCAGCACCAACACTTTCGACTGCATTCATTTCTCTAATATAAAGCTCTTTGAGACGAGGCAATTGTCCGAGAGGTGGCAACGATAAACAATTGTTACATTCCTCTAAGCGCACAAGCACCATATTAGAGAAGAAAGAACCTCCAACCCATGATGAAAATTCCTTTCCGGCATAACTCTTGAGAGTGAACTCCTTGAGCTTTGTATGAGGCTGTAACATGTCAAGCACAACGGTTTCTGTTTTTCTCGTGTCGCTTGAATGAGACCATTTTAGGACCAACGAATCAAGCCTCTCCTTGCATATCAAGTTGGCCCTCCTGGCATCCTCGACATCAGTCACATTCTCCAATCTTGAGAGGCACAGTGTCCCTCGGAGATGCAATAGGGGCCCTATCTCTCTTACCCCTGGTTGATCACTACCTTTGCTCACCACAAAAAGAGGCAATGATTGTAGATTCGTCAATCGACCTAGTTGTGAAGGCATTCCTACCAATGAAGATGCACCTGAGTTGTTGAGATGGCGCAAATTAATTAGATTACTCATGTTTGTGGGCAATGACTTCAATTTAGAACAACCCTCCAATATCAATGTTTGCAAGTTGTAAAGAGTGCTTGTTGATTTAGGCAAACAGGTTATATCTGTGTAGGAAAGGTCAAGATACTGTAACAACCTCAGATCACCGATTGACTTTGGCAGCTCAGTTATTTTATAGCCATTGAAAGAGAGCACTCGTAAGTATTTCATCTGTGGTAATAACTCGAAAATAACCTTACGAGACAAATATTTCCACCACCACCTGGAATCTGAAAGCGAAAGTGGCAGGAATGTTCGCAAGCGTTCAAGTTTTGGAAAGGCCTCAAATCTCATAACTCCATCAAAATCACCAGCAATGAAAGACGAATAGCGAGCCCTTTGAAAGCAAGTGCTTTGCAAGTTATCACCTTGCTTATCTTCCAACCTAAAACATATTTCTCCTGCTGCCCATTGTGCTAAATCATTAACGAGGTCATGCATTACATATCGTGAATTGTTTTTGCTTGATCCTTGAAGCAGCGACCTTGCTAATAGCTCTCGAAAGTAGTCGCGGCCCAAATCCTCCATTTGTTTATTGTCGTCAGGTTTTTGTTGAATCAAACCCTCTGCCATCCACAAAAGGACGAGCTGTTTCTCCCCAAATTCATAGTCATTTGGAAGAATGGAGCAATAGGCAAAACACCTCTTCAAATGTGATGGAAGATAGTGATAGCTCAACTTTAGTACGGGGAGAATGCCACTCTTATCTGCTGGATTCCATAACTTGTTGTTCAATATTTCTCCCCACTCATCTTTTTCTTTGCAACGTAGAAGACCACCGAGAGTCCTCGCAGCTAATGGTAATCCATGACATGTTTCAACAATTTTTGTCCCAATTAAATCATAATTTACCGGCTTTCCATTATTAATTTCCCCGAACGCATGTCGCTCAAATATTTCCAAACAATCACCATCTGCCATACACTCCAAATTATGAACTCCAGCGGCTCCCGTAGTCTTTGCAACATTCCTGTCACGGGTTGTCACAATTATCTTACTTCCTCCTGCTCCGACGCCAAAAGGGGATTGAAGTCTTGTCCAGAGATCGTATAGATCATAGTCGCCTTTGTTCCAAATATCATCTAAAACGATTAAAAACTTTTTTCCTCTTAATTGCTCACTCAAATTATGCTGCATTTTACTAAACTCCTGCACTTTAACGGGTCGGGATGTGATTGATTCAAGAATTGCCTTTGTCACTCGCACCACATCGAAGTCATCGGACACAGATACCCAGACCTTGAGCTCAAACTCCTTCATGGCATCATCTTTGTTGTTGAATACAAGTTGAGCAAGTGTCGTCTTCCCAACTCCGGCCATGCCAACTATAGCAACTACATCAAAATTGACAGCACCTGCATGCTCGTATTTTCTTGACAACAATTCAATAATCTTCCCTTTGTCACCATCTCTTCCAACAACAAGCTTTTCATCTAACACGTCTGAACTAGGTAGACGTCGCGATTCCTTAGCAGACGTCCCAGTATCTTTCAAGCCAAACTTATCTTTCCGTTCAGATATGTCTTGCAACCGCTCCGTAATCTTCTTCATTTCGGAGCTCATATCCCAATTGAATTTAATTTTGAAAAATGAGTTCCGCACCTTGTTGCTCGTGCTAGCTTGATCACGTCCCTCTATTGTGCGCTTCAACATTTGAGTGGAAAATTCGTCCAACATGTCTTCGACATCATAAGCGAGGTCTCTGAGATCATCAAGCAACAGTTTTACAGGATGGTCAGTCACTTGTCTTTCCTCAGCGTCGCTCAACACCGCTGCGATTGTAGATAACGTGGCCCTCCACTTCTCCAGCTTCTTTCTAAGGCCCCGGAAGTTTCCAAAGTAGTTGAGAACCTCGCGAGGGGTCAACCTGTCTAGCAGCACCTGTAGAAACGCCCCAAGAAAAACCTCTCCCAGTACCATATTAAGAGCGAGGATTACTCCAAGCAATCAAAGAAAGACTGAACCGCTCTTGAGCAATATTGAGGTGCAGAGCTGCACAAATTAAGTGAAGAAACAAATGAATAAAAAGTAGTTCAAATAAAATGAGAAACAACTAATGTATTATTCAGTTGAATAATAAGAACTTACATGGAAGTTCAAATCTGACTCCGCTTGTGATCAACAAATACAGACTCAATGAAGGGAAGATCAACAGTCAAAGACTAGTTCCTTGGAAATTTGGAAGCTTGATCTGTTGTCACAACTGCACAAATTCAAATGGTGAGAACTAATTATTGATTCCGCAATCATATACAAATGGGTAATGCCAAGGAGAATAAAATTTTAAACTAAATGATGTGTCACCACTAGATAATAGGGAACGTTAATGAAAAGCTCCTGGTACTGTTCACTTTAACGAAAAACCATATTTTTACACTAAAAAGTCAATCATGATACTATTCACTTTACCCTTTATTTTGTCCTTATTGTTAAAACGCAAAGTTTTCAAGCCCTTTTCATTAGTTTTCCTTAGAAAATAAGCATGTTTATCAACACTAAAATAATAATCCACTCATCAACAATCATGTCATTTAGTTTGCAAAATTTAGTTAAAAACTAGAAAATACGCCCGCGCGTTGCTGCGGGAACCACTGTTTCAGACATAATCAGATGGATAAAACACATTTAAGTTGAATAAATTCAACACAATTACAAACAAACAGAGGGATACATGAGTGAATGAGGCCGGTAAGATAAGCAATTTTGCTTTTATACATATTTAAGTGAGTTGGCATATAAACACAATGCACAATGAGTGGGAAGAAATTGTACGTGTTTGATTAGAAAGAGATGGTTTCCAAAAAATTTCTGTTTACTTAAGAAACAGAAGAAACATTTAGTTCACAAATAACATGTGTCCTGCAGTGTAGGCAGCTAGTTCAACAGGTAATGTAAAACAGAAAGTGTTGAGGACTTGTTCAAGTAGCTAATTTTGGAACCACAATTGTTCAAAGGCCAAAAAAACAGAAGGCCTGTTTCCATATGAAACTGAAGAAACAGAAGGAAGCTGCAGTTTACACATAGTTAAGACGGCCAAATATATGCTCTGCAACCTACATGCCTCACTTAGCAGTTAGCAAAACACAGAAAAAGTGGTGTTTGAGCAGGTAACTCGTCAACCATAGATGTTCAAACAAAAAAATATGCAGCATGTAGAAGATTTGCCAAACTTACATAATGAATAAAGAAAACACAATCAAAAAGCATTTTGACAGTGTTTTAATTCAAATTTTGAAGTGATGGCCGATAAAGAAAATACATAACTTAATTATTTATAAGTTAATGATACTTGTGGTTTGAATGTAAATATCCGTGAATTTTTCTGAACATCTAGCTGCATTCATGCATTTGCTAAAAAGCCACTCATTTTCTTAAATATGGAAGTCGTGATTTTTCTAAAAAAATATCTAGGTCGTTTAGAGAGCGCAGTTATCAACAAAACATGTTAAAACACTTTGGGGAGGATGAGATAGTTCACTATCAGAAAACCAAACGAAAACACCAACCAACCAATAACAGAATACAACAACAACAAAGCCTTTTCCCACTAATAAAAGAGATAAAATGGCCAACAACATCCGATAAAGAATTAAGAGCACTGGGTTAAACCAGAATCACAGAGATAGCACGGACCTTCAAACAAAATTAGAATAAAAAAATAAAATAAAAAACCATCCAACATCTGGACAATGAGACGATCACAGAGACAACCAAGAATGAAAAACAAAGCACAAAGCAAATGGATAACATAAGACGATCAACCCAAACAATCAATAAAAAAATCATAAAGTTGCGCTGCCTCAAACAGAAAGAATGGGAAAAGAATGCATTGAAGTTCAGCTAACATACCAAAGTCTTGATTCAAATGCAACGCCTCAGAACTGTCAGATTAATCGCAGCAGCAAGATCATATTACAATGCTATGATGAGAGTCCAATCTAAACTGCAAAAAATGAGTGAGATTCAGAGTAAGAAATCAAAAGAATTCAAAGTGCTAACAAACGGATCCAATAAAATAACTAAAACTGTAACGCTCCAATGGTATAGTTAAGACAGTTTTCACACTTATTAAACCATGACAGTCAACTATGATTTAAATACATAAGAATATTGTGCTTGTATAAGGGATCCCTGAACCAAACATTCTATGGAAAAGTGTGTAACGTGACTAAAGGATATTTATTCTAATTTTGGCACTTGATTCCTTCGGAACTACATATATAGAAATAAAACAAAAAGTCTGATATTCATAACTCACGGAGATAGCAGAGTAATTAAAAAGATTACAGTTCCTTAACTCGTTTGGTTGCTGACAAAATGAAATATGGAAAAGAAAAAAAGAGAATATACTTCCATTAAATTACTCAGTTAAATCAAATAATATCAAATAATAGGTCATTTCCATGAAACGAAAAACAAATCATTCAAAATTAAAACACTAAACCTCCACTGAACCCAACAGACAACCCAAGGAGTCTACACAGATTCAAGTTTCCATATTAACAGATAACTATATTTCCATCACCTTCTCAACAACCAAACAGAAAATAAGTTTAAAAGTAAAGACGAAAAGCTTTCCATATTCATAAATTGAAAAGCTTTCCAACGAATTCAAGTTCAATCACAAATGAAACAAACATTTACGCTCGTGTGATAACCATTTAGGCCAAAACTGAGCACACCTAAACCATTTCTATTACTGCCAAATGTTCACTACAACTCATCGCATACACAAATCTACCTATCTTTTTTGTTATCTTAATACATGATCTACCTATAACGCGAGTTTAGTTAAAATTCCAAAAACAAATTGGGAAGCTTGTATTTAAATTTCATATCACAAACATACGAACTCTGATGTCTACACAGTATCAAGTTTCCATATTCACAAATAACTATATTTCCATGAAAATTAAGAGTTCTTTCAAACGAAAAACTGACTGAAAGACAAAATAAAATAAATAAAATGAAAGCACAAAACTTCATTTATGAAAACAAAAAACTGCGTTGTGACAAATGAAAGCACAAAACTGTTGTACTTTTATGCACAAACGGAAGCGAATTCTAACAAAGTACCAATATCAACGTCGTAGGTGAAAGCTAAAACAAACAATCTCAAACTAACACAAGAGATTTACGTGGTTCGGTGTAAAGTCTACGTCCACGAGCAAAGCACGGCGAGGAATTTCACTAAACAAATGGAGCTTACAAAAGAGTGTTTAAACTCTCACAACCCAAATCCCACAAATTACAAACCCTAAACCAAACGAGTAGAGAACCCAAAACTAACGGAGAAGATTCTCCCAAATTGCTCTCTAACTCACAAACTCACAAATTTTTTTTTTGAGAAGAAACAAAACATTTTATAGAAGAAAAGAGAAATACACTGGAGTGGATAAGAAATCCACCATTAACAAGAAACAAGAAAAAACTCTCACTAGGATTTGGCTACAGCAACATTAGCTAGACCTAACTCACTTTACTGCTGCTAACAAATCCCACAGTAATTGAGAAATAGAGTAATTATTAAAAACATTTGAGACTGAAGCCCAAAGGGCTGCCCAATATTTTACTCTTCCCCAAAGTACTTCTACCCCCACACCTGTATAATCCTCAAAAATTCTTTTGTTACGCTCCAGCCAAATGTTCCAAAAAACTGCCGAGACCAGACAACCCCACAAAGCTTTAGCTTTCCTCCCACTTCCTAGGGCCTGAAACTTGACTCTCACCAAATTGCCACACGAATGAGCCACACTAAATACACTAACCCTAAGGTCCTATTTATAGTGCATAGGACTTAGGTTACAATATGAATCCTAATAGGAAATAAATCCAAATCCTAATCAAATAGGTAATTAACAAAATCTCTCCACCAAGGAAACTAACTAAGAAGTCAAAACCAAACCCAAATAGGACACCAAAACCAAATAGGTAACACAAACCTAATTTATTGCATCATCCTAATTTTGAGTCAAAAACCCAACAAAAACTTGATCTCCATGAATTTTGCACATAGTATATAGCCTATATCCAATTTCCTTAAGAAAAATCCAGCAGTTAAGTATTGATACGTAACTGAAAAACTCAAACTAGGGGATCAAAATGAGTCGCATAAAATAAATTCAATCGTTAGAAGGTCTTACAATCAAAGAAAAGAAAAACAAAACGACAACCCACCACCCTCCAATGCCAACACAAAACACATACCAACAGGGCATGATGAACATGAAAATGACGTTGAAATGAAATAAAAAAGTAGAGCCTAAGCTGAAATGGATTCAAAGGAAAATTTTTCCACCAGAAGAACAACATCGTTACCATTCAAATACAAACATATAAGACAATAACATATGTTTTAACTCTCCTTCCAGCCTTGAAATAGATTTAGCAAGGGGGGGTCAATCTGGAAACCATCTAATAGAATAACTTTACATCAGATGTGTGTGTGCGTGTCTGTGTGTGAACCTGACTCCTTATTTGGTATGGTCCTTTAGCAGAAATATGTACTTGTTATAGTATAATGTTCAACTAACTTAATCATGTCCAAGGTGTATGCCCATCAATTGTTCTTCAATTGCTGAGTCCTCTTCGAGCTCATTTGGTATAGTACCCTATATGAGCGCTGTTTAAGGATCTCAATTCAATGTTTTCTCACCCTAATTGATGGCCAATGGAAAATAAGCCAGCTTTTAATTCAGTTTACTGTCTTTCAGGCCAAACGTATTCATTCTAATCTCAAAATAAAAGGCCAAATATTACGCATTAACTAATGAGAATTAAAATATAAACTCAAGAATTCAAAGTTTCAAATGTGCCATGTCTTGGGAAAAAGTACAACCAAGATTAGGCAACCTTGACCTATCAGATACCCCCAAAAACAAAATAACAAAGATCAATCCAAAAAGGAGTTCAAAAGTTTAGAACAGCAAACAGCAAAAAAAAAAAATTAGAGAACGCAGCATTATATCATATTTTTGAATGAATTCTAAACCTAGAAATCATTACGCCTATACCTTTTATTTACACCACGGGTGTTGCTCTACCCCTACATCTACCAATCCAAATTTATTCAAGAAACAATGCTGAAGAGAAAATTTCAGAAATAAGAATGTCCCCATGATTAGCCTTCTCATTAATTTTTCAAAAACCAATCACATATCTAAAATCCAAGTACAAAAGCTTTGCAAAGATAAATTAAAAGTTTATATAACTAATTAGACTTTGAACATGCAATCAAGGCACATAATCATATACCTAAAAATAGCAAGGAGCCGGCTTGTTCCTACCACAACCAGAGTTCCTGAAATTTCCAAAGAAAATAAATCCGTTAGCAATTTAGAGAAATTGGAGGACCAAATCGTATTAAATTTGAGTTAAATGAGCAAAGGTACACCAATTAAATGAGACACTAAACACGTTTTGAGTCTATGAAATAGAAGAACAATCATATTAAGACCCCCAAGATGGTGTCCTGAGCACAAAATTATAGATTAATAAAGGTAAATACCAATCCAAAGCTGAAACCTTTTAACCGAAAATGAAAACAAAAAGCATCGAACATATATTTCAATTTTATTATTAGATTTTCTAAATCCTCAATTTGAATGTGTTGTAAAGATAATATCACCAACTAAGGGTGGCAATCTGACAATCTCTGTGCATGTCATGCCGACTCTATGCAATTGAATATATAAAATTTAAGCAGCCCCACAGAGTCTCCTAAGACAAATGCAGACAAACCAAATAGAAATTACAATGAATGAACAGAAGTGAAGGATTAATATAAACTTAATAAAGTCTAAATTACTTTTACAAACGCTCTATAGAATAAAGATGTCCAAGTCCAGTTTCTTAGCTATTATGATCCCACGGTATTGCAGCATCTTTCATATGACTAATGAAAAATAAGCAAGACTCGGAAAACATAAGACTGGACAGGAATGGGTACTCCTTTTACCATTTTACATCATACAATGTGTCCGTATAAAATCACTTATTGGTATAGAAGCACCTTATTGTATTTATCAACCTCATGAAAACAACTACGTTCAATTACAGAAATTCCCTAATGACTGTCTTAAACTACTTCTTAATTAAGTCAGATATACCAATCTAATAAAAAAAATCCATGTTTCAATCGATCCTATTAATTCCAACTCGAAGTATTTTACCATCCAGATTTGGGTCGTTTAGGATTTGCAATGAGGAAAAGACATTCAACATCCTGCACTACATGTGATAATTCTGCTTGTTTTTGTTTTGTTTTTAGCTTGTCAGTGCTCTGCCCAGCCTAATGAGCACAGTTTCAGACAGTTTAAGAGAGTCTCCTAAGCAGAAAATGATAGCTGAATAAAGAAAAAACCCAATCCAAAGCTCCAACTTTTTAACCCAAAATGAATTTGAGAAATACTAAACAGAATTAATGTTAGCTAATGCATACCCCCGCATCAAATCAAGGCAGAACATCTATTTTATATCGTAAAACAATGTGTAATCCTTAAAACTAAAGTAGATAAATCAGAATCTAGCAATAGCATTTTCCGTAACAAATTTGCGATGATATTCTGCTGATAAAGCTTAGTTAATGATATATACATTGAAAATGCAAACTTTAAAAACATGTCAAGGACTATAAATACATTATCATCTGAGTGTAACTAAGAAGGAATCTGCAGAATCGACTTCTATGATGATTTATCTAGAAACCTTTAGCATTTGATGATTTGAAACTTGAAAGGAGCAATATCCAGCCCATGCATCACTGCATGGTTTAGGTATTGAAAAAGTAAGATGATAGTGGCACATCCTTTACACGTTTTGATATGTAAGCTTTTTAGTTTGGGAAAAGATTCTTGCTTGAACAGGTATTATAGATCGTGCAGACAGTGTTTCTTCCTTAGGGTACTGTGATTTGCAGACATGGGATTAGCACCCAATACTCAACTCATTTTAACTAATATGCGTTAAAAACAACCATCCACTAAATCCCTATTCCAATGAAAAAAACCAAAAATTACTCATGACAAAGATGAATAAGTTGCAGGGTTTATTAGATTAGCACATAATATTGCAGTATAAGACTCCACCTATGGTCAGTGGCTCAAAGACGCATCAGAAAACACAATCCTCTCTAATATTTTTCCACTCAGTTCCCAACTCAATTCAATCTACATACTGTTGGGTTTTACTGTGAGCTCATATCAGCATGCTTACAACTAAAGCTCAAATCTTTACCAAAATCCCAACATCGTCCTCTCTCTCTCTCTCCCTCCCTCCCTCCCTCTCTCTCTCAAACTGTTCCACTCGGTTTCCAACTCACTCAAATGCAAAGGAAAGCTGAATCTACATGCAGTAGCTAGACGTTCATCCATATTCATTTTTTACATCCATCAATTCGACCAACACATGGATGTGACCTTTCCCTAGCTAGAAATATTTATCACCCTCCAATCCCATTTAAACAATTATTCAAATTCCTAAATTAAAACAGCATTTAGAAGCACTATAAACTGAAATCACAAAAAACATCAACAACATAGTGAGAATGAAGCTTCATTTTATAGAAAATGATAAATCCAATATGCTAAAAATGTCCATCACCAGTATATAATAAAAAACAGAATGCTAACTTCATCACATACCACCAAATTTAAACGCATTTCTTTCCGAAATTAAATTAAGAATTCACATGCCACTCATTAAGAAACTGATGCCAACTGAAGCTGTATATTGTAATATGCAACTGCTGATCGCATTTGCAGAAATCATCATATATTTTTATGAGAGTTTGATCTCTAGAACGATCTCCTTCTCTCATAACAACTAACAATTTAACCTACTAACACTATCGTTTGTCGAAAAATAGAATTACTATTTCCACCTGATTATTTAAATGTTGTACGAAAGGGTTAAAAAGTAAAAATAAAACATTGGCGGCGGACATGGCAGAGCATACAGAGGATGGTAGGATTGTGACCATCTTAATCACAATTAAGGGAACATTGAGCATCTTAATTAAATTAATTTACAAAATTAATAGCAAAAGTCACATGTCAACAGCAATTAATAGCAGAAATCAGAGTTTAGTGGCAGGGACCAAAAGAATCTCAGTAAAAATGGAATAATTCCAAACAAACAGAAAGAACTCAAGAAAATTCACCCAAAAGAAAAAAAAAAAACTGCAGAAACAATTTCAAAGATATCTTTAAAAAGCAACCGCACCCCTCGCTCACTCTCTCTCTCTCCCCAATTCCCGCTTCTCCCTACATATATCTCTTTCTATCGGCTTGCAATCATGTAAACTTGTACCATGGAAAATGTGAGACAATGAATCAAAGTAAAACATTTGGAAAGCATTAACTGTTCAATAATTCAAGGAACTTTGCCAAAATTCTGTGATACAATCATTAATATGCCGATGCACCAAGAATGTTGAATAGTTATAATTCTCTAATGTGATGTCTGGAGGAGAGACTTTAAAGTACAGAGGGATTTTAGATTCGGTTGTTAAAAACTGTACAACAAAAACATTAGACTAAAACTATGAAGCTGCAATTAGAACACCACTACAAAAACACTAAACAAAGTTGTCTTGTACTGATAGTTCTTTCAAATGTACTCGATCTAGTCCTTTCAAGCCTCTATCTAATTTTTCTAGTGTATTCCAAACATATTTTACCATCGCTTGTCATTTTTCAACCTATCCAATTCAAAGTAGCACATCTCTAATTCAACATATCCAATTCAAATCAGCACATATCCAAATTCTAATTCAATAAACCACATATCCAAATCAATTCAAAATAAATACCTAATATTCAATCACATATCCAATTCAAACAACATGGCTAATATTCAAGAACATGTCCAATATTTAAGCACATTTACAAAACAGATTTAGAACACTATAAAATCCTCTTAGTAGCAGAACATAAACATCAAAATCCAACAGAAAGACAAAGCAGCATACTAGTTCTCTATCTTGTATGTTGTTTTCAGGTGGATCTTCTTAACTCGTCTCAAAAAACCGTGCATATAGTTCACCTGCAAGCATCATCCCACAGCAAAAATTTAGACAGAACCAAGGAATACATAAAGAACCAAGAAATGGGAAAAAAAAAATCAACCAACAGGGGAATGAGAAGCAAACACCAGAAAATTTTGAAGAAGCCCAGAAATGAGCACAGTGAAACCAAACAATTCAAATGATGGTTTTAACAAAGCCAACGGAAAACAAAACAATAAACAATTATTTTCAAACAGTGCATAACTTATTGAATCAGAGGGAAAAACTGAAAACCCATACCCTGCCATACACCCCTCTGTCACTCTCTCCTCACTGACCCTGCGCATTAACCCATTAATTAACCCCAAAAAATGCACACAGCCATGCTTTCTCCTCTCTCTGTCTATCTCTATCTCCCTATCCATCTCTCTCTGTAAGATCACAAATCCCCCAAAACATATCTTTGGATTCGAGGCATGCAGCACAAGATCCGGCACACCCCACTCTCAGTAGGGTTTGCAGATGACCCCTACCCCGTCTCCCCAAAATCCCGACGACCCATATGGTCTTCTCTGACCATACCGACCCTCCCATCTGCAACAACAGTGCCGAGACCCCTACCCCTCCCCCTCGCTCTCCTTCCATCGCCATCTCTCTCTGTCTGTCTCTGTCTGTCTCTGTCTCTGTCTCTCTCTCTCTCTCTCTCTCTCTCACAGACCTCCCCGAAACCCTAATTGAACGACATCAAATGATACCAACCGGTGACCCCCTACTCGCCCAAAACGGAGAGGACAAAATTGCCCTTCGTAATACACCATCCCCACCGTCGGATTGTAATCTTTGATGGGCAAAAATGTAATTAAATAATTTGGGCCTCACTGAGGGCCGGTCTTCCCTGCTAAAGCCAACACATTTGGGCCTGGCTGAGGGACGGGCTGCTGACCCAAAACCAACACAAAAACCAATGGCATGGTGGTAATTAATCTGAAATTCGAATTGAAACACTGTTCATTTGAATAGTGCCAATTTCAAACCGTACTTTAGATTAAAGTAATAATTTAATGTCCCTAGCATTTACCTATACAAATTTATAGTAAAATTGAAATAATATTCAATTAATGGACTCCTAGTAAGCATATCTAGAGATAACAATTTGGGAATAGCAAGGGATGGCAACGGGCCGGATTCAGATCAAGGTTGCCTACATCATAACCGTCCCACCGCCAGGTATACAGTCCCTAATATAGTACCATAAAATAATCTAATAACTTGATATTGTATGTTCCAATAAAAAAGAAAAAGAAAAACTTGATATTGTATGTATAAAGCACAATAACACGCCATATAATATTACTAGGAAAATCCGAAAATGTTAGGAAATCACATATGTTTATACCATATTTACGTACAATTTGATGTGATATGTCACATCAATTAATAAATTTATCTCATTGAATAATTGTGTACATCACTTGATTCACTTGCCATTTAAGATGACATAAAACACAATAATTAATGAAACACACCATATCAATTTAAAAGACGAGCAAAAAGAAAAACAGAAGCTTGCAAAAATCATATACCAGTAAACATTATTTTTCTTAAATTTGAACCTGTTGGACAAAAAATGGGGCAGTTTTGGGATTACCCGTAACTGCAGGGGGATTCTTGCAATCCTACGCTTCAAGACTCGAAACTTGCACCGTTGCACGAATATTGGACATGATCTGAAGCAAGCAGCAGTTACGCGGTGGAAGTCTGTCAGGTCATGAGGGCACTTGTTTGCACTTATAGTCAACAAATCCAGACCGAATGACGGAATAATCAAGGCTGAAAACCGCACAAATTATATAGCTGGTTATTGATGAAATCTCTAATTAAATATACAAACTTCAAGAAAAATGAAATAATTAATTAATAAATAAGGATAAACTGTCGGTTTACCCCTGAACTTTCACCTCACTTTCGATTTTCCCCTGAACTTTTCTATTGGAAAATTAAGGACTCAAACTAATTTTTTTAGCCAATTTGCCCCCTACCGTTAGTTTTTCATATATTCAATCCATATTTCTGTTAAGTGAGACCATATGCACAACATGTGAGGATAGTTAAGTCATTTCACTCTTAAAAATGATTAAAAACTGAAAATAAATAATAATAAAAAATTTCCCTCTATTTTTTCCCGCTAATTCCTAACCTCAATTTTATTTTTCCCTCTCATTTCTATGCATGAGAAATGACATATAGTGTTATTGTCTTCATAAGTAGCTAAGTTAATCTTTTTCTTGAAGCATGTACTACCATTTTTATTTTCTCTAACAAATTAATAATTTGACAAATGCTCATAGTGTTATTGTCTCCAAAGCAGTACATTAATATAAGAAACATGTCCATAAAAAAGACTAGAGTTTCTTATATTAATGAACTGCTTTGGAGACAATAGCACCATTAGCATTTGTCAAATTATTAATTTGTTAGAGAAAATAAAAATGGTAGACAATAACACCATATGTCATTTCTCATGCATAAGAATGAGAGGGAAAAATAAAATCGATGATAGGAATTAGCGGAAAAAAATAGAGGGAAAATTTTGTTTTTTTTTTATTTTCAAATTTTTAATCATTTTTAAGAGTGAAATGACTTAACTACCCTCACATGTTGTGCATATGGTCTCACTTAACAGAAATATAGATAGAATATATGAAAAACTAACAGTAGGGGGCAAATTGGCTAAAAAAATTAGTTTGAGTCCTTAATTTTCCAATTGAAAAGTTCAAGAGGGAATCGAAAGTGAGGTGAAAGTTCAGGGGGTAAATCGACAGTTTACTTTAATAAATAATGAGTTTCGCATATATAGTTGCAAGAGGAACTTACTACGTAGAAGTTTTCAGATGAAGATGAAGGGACTTGTTTTCATGGATTATGAAAATCAACAGATCCAGAGTCTGTTTCAGGCAAAAGAACACATATTTTAATCAAAACCCAATTCTAATCAAAACTCAATTCGTCGAAGGGCTTGGCCGCCGCCTGCTTCTCCTCCTCAATCACCATCAAACCCATAATAGAAGAATAACGTATGTATGTGTGTGTGTATGAATCAAGTGTGTGATGGGATGGAGAAGTGGGAAGATCTCTCTCTATCTAACTTGAGAAGGAAGAGAACAAAAGTACAATCACACACAGAAAACACCATTTGCACAACAAAAGCACAATCGCAATTGAAATCATCAAACACAAATCAACTAATTCCAAATTAATTTGAAGCTCATCTGAAGAATACCACCTCAAACCAAGCTCAAGCGAAAACTGAGAATTAGACAAAAAATATAATTTGCAAAAACGAAAAGTAATCGCCATGGAAGAAGAGGTGAAAGGGAATCGGAACTTACCAGAGAGAGGATGACAAACTTAGTGAACGGCAGCCAAATTTGAGGAAGAAGATGAGGGAGAGAAGTTCTCAGAGAACAGCAGCCACTCAGTCGGGTTCGAATGTGAGAGAACAGAGAGAGCTAGGTTTTCTATTCCAACTATGAAATTACACATAAGTCCTTCTTAACGGGTGTTAACGGGTGCTAATGGGTTTCGCGGGTTGACTCAAAATAACTCGTTACTTAACGGGTGACTAACGGGTTGACCCGTTAATAACCTAACCCGTTAAGCATTCACCCAAATACTAGTTTTAACGGATCAGATCGGATCGGATTAACGAATCGGGTTCAAAATGCCAGCCCTAATCCAGACTACTCTCGAACGCTGCAATTTGCTTTTGATAATTAGGTGTTGAAAGACTTGTAACCTTTCGGACCACAAAGGACTCCTCGTTTCTCTCTGTACTTTTCGTGGGGTCATATCGTGGGGTCATATTGTTGTCTTTTTATTTGATTTCTTATCTCCAAAGTCCTACACGTTCGTTATACTTTTTCTTTTTCTTTATAAGAGCGATTTTGGAGATGGGAAATCAAAATATAGAACTTTGGATGGAAATACAATAAAATTGAGATTTCAAAGTCTCTTTTTTTTTTCTTTTTTTAATATGAGATTCATTCCATTACGTATGACAAATTTCAAGTTTAACATGTGGATAATACAATTCGAAAGATGTGGATCACGTGAGGCCGTTATGCTTCATACATGAGACAACTTGTTTTGATAGCAAGAAAAAGAGATTGAAGTTCCACCATAAAAACAATTGACTATAGGAAGAGTACCTCAACTACTTATTATAAGCACATACAAAGTCTCTCATTTCATTAATATAAGATTTATTCTCAACAAATAAATGACTGATTGCGCTACTTAGTACTACGATCTAGTGATATTCCTCTTCACTTAGAAGTAGAGGTCTTATGTTCGAATCTCGTGAATGAAAAATTTAATATCAAATTAGACTATCTATTGTGTGGCTCATCCAAACTTCTTCTCTTCCTTAATATAAAAAATATCGATATACTAAAAAAAACATCTGCTTGTACACAACTAAGCTACAATCCCTTGCAACACCGATCATATTATTTTGGGAGGGTGATTGTTTCAATTGTTTGTAGGCCATAGTAGATGATGTAGAGACAATCAATTTAAAACTGTAAAAGACTCTAAAAAAACCTGAGTCACACAACACTTGAAACAAGAAGAAAATGATCCATCCGTCACCGAATTTAGAAGAAAATGATCCTGCCGACACCTGATCTACCAAAGTTACAATGGATTATGCTTTTGCCATCTTGCAGACTTGTAGTTATGCTACTTGAATTTAGAAGAAAATGATCCTGCCGACACCTGATCTACCAAAGTTACAATGGATTATGCTTTTGCCATCTTGCAGACTTGTAGTTATGCTACTTAGGTTGGGTTTGGGAGTGAGGTGCTTAAAAAAAAAGGCACCTATCAAAAAAAGTTATGAGGCTTTTAGGTGTTTGGTAAACTGAAAAAAAAAAAAGGCTTATTTTGGAAGCTGTTGTGAGAATAAGCTGAAATCAAAGGAAAAAACTGAAGCTGCTATTTGCAGCTTTGGAAAACTGACTTTTTTTCAAAGCACACAGAGCTACAGTGCTCCTTTAATGAAAAGACCCACTATCAGACTGTTTTTTTTTTCCAAAAGCACTTTTACAAAAAAGTTTACCAAACACTCTGCTGATTTATTTCACAGCCGCTTATTCTCACAGCACAGCCACTTATTCTCACAACAGCTTTTTTTCAAAGCGCAGCAATACCAAACCAGCCTTTAGTAACAGAGCTATATTGGATTATGATCCGTTTGAAGATGAAGAGCAAGGTTTTTTAGTATATAATTAATGAGCATCTAAAAGTTTAAGAAAGGAAACAAGTCAAACAACATTGAGCAATATTTTGATGAAGTGAAATTACTAGCTTATTGTGTTAATTTTGAAGATTAAAGATAGACGACTTAAGCTTGGTGACTGAATTAGTGACAAGTAATTTTAGACTTATATCTCTATATGAATCTGTTTTTTCACTATTAAGTCACTATTTAAAATGCACGAAAGAGAACATGCTAGGAAAGTAGAAAAAAAACTAAATTAACGTGATGTATGTGGAGAGAAATTTAAACTCAAAATTGTATTCTTAGCTCATGATGTCATGATTGAACCATTCTCCATTGGGAATGATTGGAAATTCTAGTCTGCAATATTCATAAAAAAAATCATGGTCATTTATCAGAATGCAAATAGTAATGCTCTTCCCTTGGCTCATGTATGCGAACACAATGGAGTACAAGGAGGTTAGTGGAAACCTGGTTATTGAGATTGATTGTGCGGGTAACGTCGTTGGGAATACAGTTGACAGGTCGAAAAAAATGGCAATCGTATAATTATTTGAATTCTATATAGTAATATTTGTAGAATAATCAAGTTTGAAAGTCGACTTCTTTTTTTTTCCTTTCTTTATCAAGTTTGGAATATCACTGACTGTGACCCTGTGCAACTAGTTGTTGATTCGTTTTGAATAATTAACATTATTTCTTACAATGTCTTGGACGTATGGATAACAGAAAGAAAACGGTCATGATACAAGCTGAATAAGAGTAGTACTAATTAGCAAATAACTTGTGAATGATGTTTGCTTATAACCAAGTGGCATGAAGGGACAAATGTGTATGTTTCATGCATGACTTGGAGTAGTATTAGTAAAGTCACACAGGCCAATCAACTTGTTGGCAAGTGGCCATTTACCACAATGGTGAAAAAGTGTTGTGCTCTTACATGATGGCGTGAGTTCGAATTCTATCGGTGACTAATCTAACATCTAACTTATTAATGTTGTCGCTCGACTAAAAAAAAAATATTCTAAATGTATGTAGTGGATAAACACAATCTCAAAATTTAATTAAACTCACATAATAACGATAAATAAAGGCATTATCACAACTTAGGGGTGGAGAGCAATCCCATTAAAATAGATATTAATATATACATATTAAAAACAAAAACAAAAACAAATTGATGCAAAATCTCCCGACGACTAATACTATTCCAAGTCATGCATGAAACATACACATTTGTCCCCTCATGCCACCTGGTTATAAGCAAACATCATGCATTTACTAATATTATTCCAAGTCATGCATGAAACCTACACATTTGTCCTTTCATGCCACTTGGTTAAAAAAAACAAAAACAAATTGATGCAAAATCTCCCGACGACTAATACTATTCCAAGTCATGCATGAAACATACACATTTGTCCCCTCATGCCACTTGGTTATAAGCAAACATCATGCATTTACTAATATTATTTCAAGTCATGCATGAAACCTACACATTTGTCCCTTCATGCCACTTGGTTATAAGCAAACATCATGCATTTACTAATACGATTTCAAGTCATGCATGAAACCTACACATTTGTCCCTTCATGCCACTTGGTTATAAGTAAACATCATGCACAAATTGTTTACTAATTAGTATTACTACTATTCAACTTGTATCATGACCATTTTCTTTCTATTATTCATACGCCCAAGACATTGTCAAAAATAATGTTGATTATTCAAAACGAATCAACAACTAGTTGCACAAGTTCAAAATCAGTGATACTCCTAACTTGATAAAGAAAGAAAAAAAAAGGGAAGTCGACCAAAAAATAAAATGTATATAAATATAGAAAATTGTTATTAGCACTCCAAAAATCTCATTTGGCATTCCAAACTTTTTGTAATTAGAAAGAAAAATACACTTGTGTGGAGTGTAGAATGAGATTTTTGGAGTGCTAATAACAGTTCCCTAAATATATCTTAACAAATATTGTACGTGGCATTGACTTAGACTTTCGCAAATAGACTTATAATTTCTAGTATCTAATAAATATCCAAATTGAAAATATTAATCGATCTACAAAATTTTCTCATGGAGGTACCCATTTTTTTGTCACAGATACCAATATAGAGGTTAAAGGACAATACGATATTAAATTTATATGTGGTTGAGATATTTATGAATTTAATCATTAAAATGCATAAGCTCAATTATACATTCAAGTGAGATCAATTCCCGAAGTTTTGGTCAACAATAAAACTGCTTACCTATGAGTTCACCTATAAACGTGCAAAGGCAGTATACTTTTTAACCACAGTTCTATGTATTGTGAATTTTTGTCCACAACTTTTGTGGCATATAGAGGCTAAAAGATACTACGATATTAAATCCATTTACAGTCGAAATATTTATCATTTTAATCGTTAAAATGCATAAACTCAATTACACATCCATGTTAGATCAATTCCCAAAGTTTTGCTTTACAATAAAAACTGTTTAGCTATGAGTTCACCTATAAAACATGCTAAGACGATATACTTTTTAGCCACAGTTCAATGTAATGTGAATTGTTGTCAGCAACTTTTGTATCTAATAAATATCCACGTTTTAAAATATTCATTGATCTACCAAAAGTTATTATGGACGTACCCATTTTTCTACCACATATAGGAATATAGAGGCTAGAAGATTGTCATTTAATTGAAACATATCAAACTCATTAAACACTCTAACCAGAAGCTCATACTGATTATTAAGCTAATTAGTGCTCTAGAAATTTAGAGATGTCAAATGATGAAGAAAAGGAAGAGGAAGAGGTTTAGGTGATGTTGACCCTAAAAACTACTAAGCCTATGTGGCACGCAAGCCGAGTAATTAATAAGCTAACTACGTCATTCAGTTGTGTGCGAGGCGTGCCAACTCGTCGGCCGAGCTCGGCTGAGGAGTAAAATATGTTGATGTTACGTTGGGTGCGCTGCTGACTTTTGAATCTCGGGACTGCGGCCGAGGAAGGAACACTCTTAGCCTTCGGGTTCTAGAGCCTGAAGACAAGGCTGCTAGTTCTGCAAAGTTCAATATCAAATTCGGCTTTCAATGTGCTGAATGTAATAACTTGTAACACATCACTTGGCCGAAAAGGCTAATGAGATGACATCTGCCAATAAGGATTCCAAAATCCTTCTCGACTGAGACTTGGATAGATAACCAGTCGGCCTTGACGCAGTGCTGTTTATCCAAACTGAAGGTGCTCTGTGGTCGGCTAATTCTACGGTAACAATGTTGTTTATCCAAACTGAAGATATTCATCGGTTGCCTTCATAGTGCTATTTATCCAAACTAAAGATGTGTTGGCGAAAAAGAAAATAAAAAATCTCAAGATGTTTGAAAGGTTTCGCGTAGAGCAAGGGTTTACGCATGGCAGTTTGTGTGTTGAGTTGGAGGTCCTCTATGCGTTGCAATTACCTCTGTATTTATAT